TGTGAAGGTTGCCAGATTCCAGCCTCTCCCTTGTGTGAGAGCTGTAAGCCCCAGGAGAGGAGACTTGAGCAGCAGAGACTTGGTGGAATAGGGGAAGGAAAGCTGGCTTCTCAGCAACATAGTAGGCAGTTCTCAGCTCTTGTATGATTTATAGAGTAGGCCACAAGCTGCCTAAAATCCAGACTTTCACAATGTGGGGTTGGGATCAAAAGCTTGGGTCTAATTCTTCTCCCTGCTCTTTTACTGATCCAGCTGCAGTGAGCCCAGTTCAGAGTATTTCTGCCCCACTGCTGGTTTAATGGGGAGGTAAAGCCAGGACTAATGGTCTTCTGGGTCTCAAACTGAGACCTGGCATGGAGCTGCCAGTACAGAGTAGCACAGAGTTGAGCTCTGGGGCTGCTTCGCCGCGCGGTGCTGCCGTTTATTATGTAGGCTGGGAGCGTGGGCACGCCAGCTGGGGGAAATTAAGCTCCAGGCCCAAGGCTTTATTCTGCTGCGGCTGTTATTAGTCTGGATTGCAGCATGCTGACATGGTTATACTGCTTTTGGAAATGAGCTAGCTTGCCTGGAGCGCGGGTGGGAAAGTCCATGTGGCACCGTGGGGTACCCTGCAGTCCACAGACGTGAGGGGTCAGGAGTCTTTGGTTGTTTATTTCCTTTCTAAATATAAATTCAAGCAGGGGTGTTAGATGCTTTTGTATTGGCAGTGTTTTTGCTCACAGGTCAGCTTTATTAATAATGGTAGTGCTTAGGGTAAATGAAAGCAGAATGCATGCTATGGTCCCTGCTCCAAAAGCGGGAATGCATAAATTAGAGCTGATTATTCCCCTGAGTTGTCATTATCAGTTAGTTCCCTGAGAAGGATCATGACAGAAATGGGTCATTAGAAGAATCGTGGATAAAGTGATTGCCTTTGCAGATGAGCTCTCAAGAGGTGTTTTATGGTTGGGGCAGTGTTGATAGAGACAGAGCAGTCTGCACAAGGAGAGATTTGCCCAGACCTCTGGAGCAAGATGATGCAGTGCTAGCCCGAAATGTGTCTGGCTCCTTGCAACATTCCTTGATTTAGCTCTTTTCACTCCGGTATTAAATGCAGAGGTGTTGATATTTTATGTATACGTGAACATTGTTCAATCTACTCATACCAGAGATGAAAGATAAGTTTAGGGTGAAAATGATTTGCAGCAAGAACTTCTGTTCCAAAACCTGCATGGAAGGGAGAGTCTGGTAGATGCAGTGCTAAAATTGGTCTTGGCAAAATTAGACTTCGTTCTTGAATCTTCACAGACTTTTGTGTAACCAGGGGCAAGCTGCAGTCTCAGACTCTCCCAGATATTAAGAGGTCTTGCTCTTCTTCATGTCAGTGAGATGGGTGCCCAAATGGGTGAGCACTTAGGCATTTTAAAGAATGTGAGCCCTAATCTCTTTTCTCCCTTTGTGCTTGACAGAGGTGGCATGAAAATAAACACTTTGAAGAGTGTAGAGTGCTGAGACACCACTGTAATGAGGCCATTACTGAATCTGAGCATGTAATTAGATGGAAAATGTTTGCCTTCATAATGAATAGATGCTCTTACACATACATTCCTCAGTAAATTGTCAAGTTCATCCTTTCTGTAGTTTCAATAATTTCACTGTGTATCTGGGGATGGATTTTCTTTGGCAAAGTCAACAGGAGGGGAGAGAGGACCAGACTGGACCACAAGGAGGACTAGGAAATGTTTTCTGATGAGACTCCTAAAAAGATGCTGCAAGGAGTGCAATGCAGAAAGGGCAAACTACAATCTTTAAATGTAGTTAGTGAAGCAGAATAACAGCTCAGTCTCATATGTACCAACTCTGCAAAGCAAATTTCAGATGCTAAATATATGATACACACCTACTCTTTTATTTCTGTTCGGGCAATCTTGATTCTTTTGCCTAGTAAAATACACTCAGTGGAATAAATTTTAGGAGAATTAGCGGCCTGATTTAGTTGTCACTTGCACTGGTTTTGTGCCTGTGCTTTCATGGGCATGAATAGGGCTCCTGATATTATCTCTATGCTGAGCACAGTCTCCTTCCAGCCCTCACGTCCCTGCCTGATCCAGACGATACGTGCAGGGTCTCCACCACCCTTGGTACTGTACAGGCAGGGTCTTGGTGCAGAAGTATGTAGAAAAATCTGATGTGTATTAAAGAAAAAGCCACATTTTCTGACTTTGGTTTAAGTCATTGCTGGTATACTGCTCAGTTTTCTTCAAAGCCAGCTATATTACCCCACACGTGCAAAAGCTGAGGCCTCAGTCGGGGATGTAACATCCTAGTAAGAAACTCCTCCATTCATAGCCTCGAGGATTAAGCAGGGCATCCTGAAACAGTATCCTATGGGGCTCTTTAGCTGTGGCACTTGCTTTAGTGTTAAAAACTAAATCATCTCTAATGGCAGCACTGCCTACTAGATCGATGCTGAATTATGCCATATGCTTCTTTGATTATAAATGGGTTGACTCCTTTGGGGGCTGTTCAAATGAGTGTGCTGCAGTTAGGTGTGATGAATCCCACCTGAGCCGCCAGTACTGGTGAAACACAGAAGGAGGGATGATATGAAGGTATACTAGGAGTGAGATCTAGACCTCAGTCCCGTCCCTGTCTTCTTACAAGAGATACAGGCATGTGTGGGTGACCTTTCCCTCAAGTAACACGGGAAAATAATCTAAAAAAGTTCTTTATTTGCTGTTGGTTATGAGGTACATTGCCATGCTCAGGTGGGATAGCAGTGAGGGTGTTGGTAGCAGTTCTTGGCTGCATACAGCTTCTCCACTCTGCCCATTCCCTGCCCCAGCATAGGCAGGGAAACATACCCAGGAACTGCCAAGGGGTCCAGGGGCAGGATCATTCCAGTGCTGCTCCATGCCCCAGCTCTGCCCTTCCTGTTCCCACCTCCTACTGTGAGCCCAATCAAATGGCCTCAACTAAGCAGTTTTCAGAGGGTAGAGGGAAAAGCAATGTGACACCAAGGACATATCCAGAGAATAATGGAAGAACTGGGCCAGGAGCAAAGAGAGGGGGTCTCATCTCTGTGAATTCTTAGGCTCAGCACTCACTTCTCTTCCAGCAGAAGTGAGATACTTCATCTTTCTGCCTGTAAATGGGATTGGTTTGGAAAATACACTAAAATTATGTGAAGATGTGAGCTTTTAATTTGAAAGAAAGAAAAATTTTAAAGTTCAAACAGGGAACTGTACTAGTTAGTTGTTTGTTTATATTTAAAAATTAGCCTGGTGGAGATTTTTTACTGTTTGGAAATCCCCTTCTCAGAAGAAGAGGATGAATACATAAAAAAATCCCCATCTATAAAACCTCTTCTCCTCACTTATCTTTATTTCCAGGGAGTTCCTTGCAGCCTAGACCAGCAGCCAGGACTCACACATGAGGAATGCTTCAGTGCACGTTGTGGTTTGTCAGTCCAAAACAAAGTGACATCTCTACAAACACTGCAAGAGTTGTGTCTGGTAGTTGTCTTGCAGTGTTCCACATTGAGTTGAGGTAGAAGAGAGAGTCCTCTCTTGGGCTTTGTGCTTCTGATGGATCTGAAGTTGTTACAGATTTCAGTCCCTCAGCACCACCAACACTGAATAGTAAGGTGGAAATTAGTCCACCTCTTAATAAAGCTTTTTTTTTGCCCTTTTTTTTTTTTCCTTTCCAGATACCATCAGGAAATTAAATCAAAGCTCTGCTTTTCTGTGCAACAAGTAGGTCTTTGTTGGCAAGATCTAATTCATGGCCAGTGTTACGCTGGGAGCCAAGCTGGCCCCCCAGCTAATGACTGGGCTGAACTTTCCCCGCAGTAACTCGATAGCTGTACAGCTGTGCAGGCTCACAATTTGCTCCTTGATTGTCAGTCTCCTGACAGCTTTTTCAGTGGAACAGTTTGAGAGGAGTGGAAAGCCCTGCTTTGGAGACATAGAAGTGTTTTCACACCTGAAGTGTAATTTCACACCTTGTATTGCTCAGTAGATAAGTGCGTAAAATAGCACATCAAATGGGAACAGAAGAGGATAGAAATGCTGTAGACAAGAGACGGAGGCTTGTTATTTATTTCCTATCTTCAGCACACTCTGAAATAATACTCACTTGCAGGAACCCAGGCACAGATTACGAAGGGGTTAGCAGAGGACTTGTCTAGCCAAGCAATCTGTCACTGTCACGTGCAGAGCAAGGTGAAAACTTACACTGAGCTGGATCTGTGGAGCATTGGGAGCTCTGAGACCACAATATTAACAAGCACATAACAGAGGTGAACTAATTAATACAGGAGGCAGCAAGAGTTTAAAGAACAGATGTACAGGAACACTGAATTGGACCATTCCTTCCTAGGCATGTTTACTCCTTGTATTGATTTAGATAGTGAATAAAATTGACCCTGAGTCCACCAAAAATTTAATATGAGAATTTGAAAAAAACTTGAAATTATCATGGGAGATAAATCATTCCACTGTGTATGCAGGTTTCTTTTCCCTGTCTTTCAAGATCCTTTTGCTTGGTATCTCAAACAATAGGTCACAGAGGCATTCTTCCAAAAGAGAATGGTGGAGAGACAAAGGCAGTCAAAGAAAACCTGGGTAAGAGAGCCCAAATGAAGCTTGATTGTGAGGGAGAGGAAGGGAAGATGGAAACACACCATTTGATGTGGAGAATCCATAGAGATGCTCATAGTTTCAGTTAATCATAGACAGGTTTGTTAGGAGTGGATACCAGGTACCCTGCTCTTTCCAAGAGAGTAGGGCTGAAACACACATCAGTTTCCTTTTCTCCACAGCTTAATATGAGAAAATCCAAGAGGTGCTTTCATCTGCTGCTTCTCATCCCATGGATTTTACCAAGGAGAGATGTCCAGCCCTCATCTGTTATTCACTGCAGACAAAGCTGCTCTACTTGGAGGGGTTTTGGGTGTTTTTTGACCACTTGGGTCTGTTACCTGTGCCAGAGGTATTGTCTCCTCTTTTATTCTGTCCTAGATACCTATGGAAAGCTCTGCCTGCGCAACTCTGTGGGTCAAGAGATGTCTCGCTGCAAGACCTCCATCCGCCGAGGACAACCCAACCCTGTCTACAAGGAGACCTTCATCTTCCAGGTTGCCCTCTTCCAGCTCTCTGATGTCACCCTGATGATCTCCATATACAACAGGCGCAGCATGAAGCGCAAGGAGATGATCGGCTGGATTTCCATGGGTCAGAACAGCAGCGGAGAGGAGGAGCAAAGCCACTGGCAGGAAATGAAGGAATTGCAGGGGACGCAGGTCTGCAGGTGGCACACGCTGCTGGAGTCCTAGTGGTTACCAGGGCAACTTGCAGATCCTGGGACAAAGGGCTGTCTTACCTTGTTCTCAGCCAGCAGAAAACAGCTATCCCGTGGCAAGCACTGTGCTCTGACGGGGCATGTGTGCTTTAACCTGGCTGCTTGGTGTCAGCAGTCATGGGTATTAAAGGTGGCAAGGCCTGGGAAGCACATTTAGTTCTTGCCTTTCCAGGTTGTCCTGCATTTTCTACATCCATATAATTAACCCTGGTGAGAAGCACTGGGAATACCTACAAAATCCTTTCCTTGGTCGTTGTCTTGCTGATTTTGTCATAGGCTTAATCATCACAGGCTGATTCTGATGCTGTTTTCTTCTGGGTTAAACTCTCTCTTCTCTCCCTCCCCTTATTTATATTAATGAAGTTTGCAAATATTCTTCACACGCAGATAGCTCACAGAAAGGCTAACCTGCATGCAGATCACATCCTCTCCCTTTTATTATCGTGTTTCTAAGTCCTAGAAATAAGCATTTGATACCACTGTAGACTGGATGATATATTTTTCAAGCAGCATGAGAAAGCACTCTTGAATTCTCTGTCAACTTTAAAGTGCCTAGACATTACTACTGTTCTCCTGCACTAACAGTTGATATTAGGACTTAACACTATTGATATTTTTAATTAGGCACCCTGTGCACTTGTTAGCCTGCATTGCCATAGGTTTGCACAAGAGATAATGAGCATCAGTTTTTCTATTGCATTATACAATGCATGTTTAGATGTTTACTTGAAGTTATGGCTTCTGTCATCACAAATACCAAAAAAAAGACCAGAAAAAGCTGCACATCCACCTTTGTGCCTGAATCACTCTTTTCTGCATCACTGTTTTGCCAATGTGTTAATTTGGTTTTTAGAAGCAAGGTTCATTCAGAAAAGCATTTCTGTGAGCATTACAGGTGAAGGCTTCACATCTGTGGTTTCTCTGTCATTCAGCTGAGCACTACTCAGTTTGCTGAGGGCTATCCTTTAATATCTTCTTGGGATATGACAGGGGACTAGTTTTGGCATACTGAGCCATAGAGGATGCCAGACCATGTCACCTCATCTTGGGGGTGAGCTCTCCTGCAGGCAAGGAATAGGATCCAGGGGACCCCCCAGAGGGGCTCTGCTGAACTAGCACCGGAGAAAAGTATTGTGCTTCCTGCCTCTCACTGAAAACAATGCAAGGAGCAGGCTTGCTGGATGAGGTGATGACACTTTCACGTAGTAACTTTTCAGACTATATTGTCCTTTTCCACTCTGTTCTTTTTCCCTGTCTCTGCAAGTTGAAGCCGTGGAGATGATGGATAGGGGACGTGTCTCGGTCTGCTGCTTGACTAAGTGGTTGTTTTTGCAAGCAAGTGCCGTGTGTGACACAAAGGAGGATGTTCATCTTCAAGTGCAGTGATGGTATGTAGGCAGTGAGGTGCTGAGATCTTCAAATGCTATCAGCTGCCCAATCTCCCATTCCCCCCGCTCTCTAGGAGAGGACTGGCATTTCTCCATTCCTGCTGATGACAGCAAGACACAGGAAATATTTTGCTGAAAAGGTTTGTCTGTTCTGAGTCACTTCGTGTTTTGGTTTTGTCATTTGCTGAGATCTGGCACCAAATTCTGCCTCCTACTGCACTGCAGCCGTCTCCTTCCTTCAATGGTGCTGTGCAAATCTAACTAATGCAAATTTTGGCACTGGCTGTTTGACCAAAATTGGGCCTCTCTGCTGGTTTGGCTCACATCCAGGCCAGCCAGGCCCTGAGAGCACTGCTGTGACACTCACAGGTTATCACTTGGTGTCATACACACAGACTCTGTCTGTCCTCATGAGGCAGACAGAATAATCTGCATGTAGGAGGGCTTCTGGTACAGGTGATACAAGTTATTCTACAGACCCTGCTTTTGTATATTCTTATCACCTGTCTGAGTATCATTTTTTCAGGGAGACTTCTGGGTATCATATGCAGGAGGGTTCTCCTCTCCTGTCTAGATAAGCTGACATATCTACTTTGCACTACTGGGGCTTTCTGTCACAAAACAGGATACAATCTAAATTCAGCTCAGCAAACAAATATATTTTTGACTGCACTGCTAATGCTGCTGTATTACCAATGCAAAAAAAAAAAAAAAAGAACATTTGAGTGGTAACCAGCAGAATAGACCTTTTTTTTTTTATCACACACTTTTCTTCTGGGAAAAAAAAGTAGAGGAAACAGCCCAATTCAAAAGGTACATTTGCTGATTCCAGTTGCTTTCCAATCTCGGCATCTTTTTTTCCCTGAACTGCATAAAATGTATGTGCAAGTGTTTATAATTAATTTTACTACCTGGAATGTGAATATATGATAAACTTACTGAGATTTTCTCCATAACTTCTTGAACCTGCGAAGTGTTGCTTATGCTTCATGATTAGCTAAGGGAAAACTGTAAGTTGATAATGTGTTTCAGCAGTGAACTGGAGATAACCCAGATTTATAACAGTATGATTAAAAAAAAACTACTGAAAAAGATCATTTTAAAAAACAATGTAATAAACTGGTTTTGGACTTCCATGCTGTTTTCACAGTAAGATCTTTTCCAAAGATACAGCATTATGGGAATTGAATTTTAATATATAATTTCAGTGTAGAGTATTGGGAGTCAGAGGAAAGCAAAAGAAAACATCTTACTTAGAATAAGTTAATATCTGAGCATGTATTAAAACTTAGTTGTCCAAGGGAAGCAGGTTGCTGCATTCTTGCTGCAATCTTTTGACCTTATATTTTACCAGAAAATTTTGGAGTGGGGGTAAAAAGGGATGCAGCAAATGGACCATTGGGGTTTTGGAGCTACTGCCAAAACTGTTGGCATATCCATGCCTTGAGCAGTGCATTCATGGGGTTCATTATGTTCCTACTAAAGCAATGGAGGAACTTTTTGAATCTTGGGATGAACAAGGTGCTTGTGCTTGCTAGTTGTATTTTGATATTTTTGCTGCTTTCGTGGTTTATTTTTCTTTTTGGTGTTGACTGTCTGTGAAATGAAGGATTTGTACCAGCCCTGGCATATTCCAAAGCTCCTCTAATTCTTCCCATTGACAGATTGAATTAGTCATTGCTAATATTGATACAGGCTTGGCTTGTGCTCCTGGTCTTTCTTAGGTAAATACCATTGCCCTTTCAGTCAGTGTTTTAACCCCTTGTTTCCTTTGGAAGTGGCTGACAAGACTGAATTTGCAGAAAGGTTTCCATTCCTTGGGAAGTTTGACTCTCCCTTGGCTCACAGCTGGTGATGGGTGGTAGGCTGGGCCCTGTGCTTCACTGACCTTCCTCCATGTGGATGCTGATGCTTCCTCTCTGTTTCTCTGGGGTTCCAAGGGGGGGGGGAGAGGAGCTTCCCATGGGAGGGCCATGGGAAGTTCAAGGATCAGGATCAGAAAATAAAACAAACTGAAAACCCACAAAACCATTGTGTGGGAAGGAACTTCACTGCACTGGCATAGGCCCAGAATATTGTGGGCAAGTGCCCTGCATATAGCTCTGTATCTTGAACAGCATCGTTCAGCTGGTTGCAGTCTGTTCCTTCTTTGGTCTCTCTCCAGCCAGCTGGAGCTGTCCTGCTCTGTCCTGCTAAGCTCTGCTGTTGTTTTATCTTCTGGTTTAAATGTGTATCGACAACAGAACAGAATGATCTCACCATGTTTATATTCCCCATGATGTGATCTTCAGCTGATGCCCACAGAAATGAGTACCTCTTTTAGCCCACTGAGCTGCAGTGCTGGCTCCCTGAAGTGTCCATTTGCAAAAGCTTTGCCTGGATGGTCTTCTGCATCCTTTGATTTGTTTGGGTTTCCTTTTTACCAGTGTCTTTAATTAGCTGGACCCTGCTGTGGCCTGCTCGTTCCTGTTGCTCTGCCTTGCCTGCGCTTCCCTTTGGAGATAATGTGGGTTGTGTGGCTCCTGGGGTACATGGACAATACTCAGATATATTTTTAGCGGCTGCAGATCCCGAGGAGTTGTTTGGTGCTTTACACAGTCGACTGATCTTCAGTCATGAATGTCTTTAGATGTTCCTGGATGCGCAGAACCAAAAGCTGCCAGCTGCTATTGATCATTTTTCCAGCATAAAGCCGGAGGTGGCAGCTTGGCAGAGGAGCAGGCGTTTCCTCTGGTGGCAGTTCGTTTTCCCCTTCAGTTGGAGCTGGCGATGACCTTGGAGCTGGCGTGCCTGCAGAGCTTGCTTTCCGCTCCCATATTTATCATCATCTTTAATCTGTGTGATCACAGCGCTTCATCTCTCTGCCTCTCAGCTGCCTTCTGCCCTTCAGCACGAAAGGTGGACAAAAAGGCTGAGCAGAGAATGTGGCCTTCTCCATCACGTTATCCCTGGGCCTGAGGGAAGCTGACTCCTAGAGGGGTTGTCTTAAAGTCTTGATGCTCATGATCAAGACGTTGCATCCCTGCTGTCTAATCCACTTGTGGACTTTGAAGGTTGTTAGTTGGGCTGTGATACTTTAATATTTACAAAGTAGTGACACCCGTTCACCTCAGTGTGGACCAAGTTAATGACAGAAGAAACAACCTGTTCTGTGTTTGCTTTCTTCTTTCTCGTGGGCATTGTGTTCTGTGAAAGGACAACAGCCTGAAGGAATTAGTATGCAGGAACATCCGCTTTCCATTTAAAATGTAGTGTGATGTTTGCAACTATGGTTTGAGGGGGAAAAACAAAGCATCCAGGGTTTGTAGGAAAGCTCACACTTCGAATGAGGCACGTTTTCCCCTTCAGCATGTGCTGCCCCAACAAATACGTTCTCATATCCCAGGAAGCGGTGCTGGCTCTCAGCTCATCTGCTTCTGTGATACAAGCAGCCAGAAGCTGACAGATCCTAAAGCTTGGAAAGACATCCAGGATAATTCCACATAGCTGTTTTGGGTGTTTATTTGGGATCTGGTGCAGATTTAACAAGATGTCAAGCAAGAAATGAAAACCCCAAGCAGTGGTGGGAAGGTGGTGAGGGGGGAGGGAGGCAGGGAAGGCTCTCAGGGTGCTCATGCTGCTGTAGAGCTGGGAGTCTGCTCACTCTCTACTCCAGAAAGCAGCACAGCTGGGCTGCAGTGGCATCAAGCCTGAGCTGAAACCCAGTTTCTCTGCGTGATTCCTGAGCTCCAGATCTGCTGAAGGCATACAGCCTTTTTTTTCAGTGCAGGGTGAGCTCGTGTCTTCCTGCAGCCTACACTGTGGGCCTGAAGAAAT